TCTACTTACTGTTCATTATACGCAATCTCTTGTAATCTCTCATATATAAAAGAACAGTGGGCATAGGACTTGCATTAAGCATCCGAACTACTTTAAAATCGTCTTTTATTTATTATTCAGTCTTTGCATTGGATTATCATATTTATTCATATGTAATTTCTAAACGCTACTTAGCATTTTACACATGCGAGTCATTGATGTTAAAATCAAGCATCAACAGCATTCACAAACATCATCAAAAGCTTTAACAGAGAATGAAGAATTATGGACTAATTAAAAGAGGGCTCTATTCCCCAAATTCTTGATTTCCCTGCACGTCTTTGTGTTCATGTCAGCTTCATAAATCTGGAACCCAGTTGTGTTATTATCATACATCCCTTCTCTTGTAACCACCAGCAATGCTCCTCCTGATTCCACAATATACCAATCTGTAGTCCGATTAAGGGTTGGAGATTTCTGGATTATTAACCAAAAAAAAAAAAAAAGCTTAATTAGGATCATGGATGTAATAATTACCAAGTATCCTTTGCGGTCTTAATTAATTTCGTTGTTCACTGTTTTGAGTTTTAGGGTTTTAGATACTTTTGACTGTTATTGTTTTTGTAAACAAAAATATGAAGCTAATATCATTTAATATTTGATAAAATTAAGTCTTAATGATAGTTATTAATTATTTCCTTTAATTAATTCTGTGTCTTCATATATTGTTTGGTTTCAATTATATATCAGTGGCGGCTGGTCACTATTAAAAAGGCTACTTAATTAATTAATATCTTTCGGGAACTGGATCCATCGATGCAATAATTCTAATAGCTGGAAATGGAATTGGGATTGGAGAAATCAAATGGATGGAATGTTTGGTGGTTTAGTAAAGAGTAAACGACTTTTTTCCACCCAGGTTTTCCTTAATGATACTTTCTAGTACAAAAAGTTTTAAAATACCACTTTTCATCCAAAGTTAATATTTCATTACTACCCAAAACTGATTTCAACGATAAAAATTCTCTCTGTCATTACCATTTAAATCTCCGATCTCCTCTCTACAAAACCTCTCTCACTCTGTCACCTAATTTCTTGTCAATTGTCGGTCACCGCAACGATAGAGTTTCATATTTTTAGCTGATTTTCGGCTAATACCGATGGCGAATATTCAATCGGTTATCACTATTTGATCCACCGGCCTCACTCTATAAAACCTCTCTTACCCTAACTCCTGTTTACTCATTGAATGTCGGTTGAGAAATTAAAGTGTATTTTGGTTATTAACGGAATATAAACATTGGGTGGAAAAGTGATATTTTGAAACTTTTTGGGTGATTAAGGAAAACCTTGGGTGGAAAAAAGTGGTTTACTCTTTAGTATAAATGTTTATAGGAAATTATATTACTATTTCCGATGGGTGTTACAAGTAGTGGAAGAATTAAAGTTGAGCAACTGAAACAAACTGATAGCAAACTTGTAGTGAATTTGTCACTATATATAGCAAACTAGTAAAAAAAAACTTCAGTAACCAAATTGCAGAACGAATCTAATTTCCTGAACGGAACGAAGTTCTTCATACTTTTAGAAAGGGTTTGAAAGAACGGTCTTTTGTGGATTTTTATCTCATTAGGGGAATCTTATTAGAAAATGAATTATACAATTGATATATGTACAAGGATTTCCAAGTAATCTGGAATTATAAAAGGAATTTTAACCTAGAAGAATTGTATCAATCCATGTAGAATCTGTTATGCCTGGGAAAATAGGACTGACGTGGCACCCAGTTAAGTGCGAAAGGTCAGACCTCGGGAAGAGTCCGCTGACATTCTGGCATAGCCGCGTCGTGTGATGATGCAAGCAGCACACTCCTGTCAGTACAGTGGGTATGCGCCAGACTGAAGAAAGGCTAGAGGATGTACACGTGTCTAATCTCTGCAGCAAATCACGTGAATTACTCTAGAAGGTGGGTAATGTGACATAAAGAAGGATTTGTACAGATAGTCCCACCAACTCACAGATTCAGTGATGATTGCCTTAATCCATCCCACTATAAATTGAGAGTTTCTCTCTCATTCAAGGGATTTGCTCATTTTACTCTTGATTAGCTACCTTCTCTCTAGAATAGACAGCATTTGATACCTTGTATTATCATTGTAAAGTCGGTCGTCTAAAACGACTTGACCCTTATCATTAATACAGACATCAGTGGAGTAGGAAAGGAACTTGCTTCTTAACATCCGACACCATTTAAAATTTTATCTCACTGCATTTGCTCTTGATTCTTTTCCTTTCACATGTGTCTTCTAGGCCAGCTCAGCATCTCACACGTGCGTTTCGTTGGTGTCAAAATCACGCATCAACAGAATCCAAAGATCAAACACTAAAGAGGACTATTCTTATAATGGATAAGTCATTACAACCTCCATAAAGGATAGATATCATCATTCAAGAGATTATCAGTCGGTTGTGTAGAGAGCATCCGACTACACAGAACGAGTGACCGTAAATCTCTATAAGAGCTTGATTGTGGGAGCCAATAGAGATCTTGTTAATGAAAAGATATTAGTATTCTCATCTTATCGTATTATACTCCATGACTTATATAAGAAAAAAATTCCATTAGTGACTATAGTAGATACGTTCAATTTTGGAGGAATCGTTGAGATTCAGCAATATTTCTTGAATATTTCTGGATCTTTATTTTGTCAGTTTTAGAATATCATATATTCTTGATATACTATAATCTCCTAATTAGTCTGTATATTGTAATTGACATAATTAGGAAATCCGTAGATTATATTCCCTATATAAAGCAGTAATTCTTATTGAAATATCAATGAATTGAAATATACAATTCTTCAATAAACATGGTATTAGGAAAATTCTATAAATCATTCTCGTGTTTTATTTTATGTTATTTTCTTATTGTTGTATATGTTGTTTGTCAAGTAAAAAAAAAAAATGATCTTCATCTTAGAAATATAAAAAGATACATATTACTGGAATTATTTGTTTTAACCAAAAAAAAAAAAAAAAAAAAAAAAAAAAACAACTGATCTTATCAATTTTTTTTTTTTTTTTTGTGACCTGAGGTGTTTGGGCCATTTACGCGCACTTCAATTAATTCTTCAAGACCTTAAAGTTGATGATTAGATAAATCTCTCTATTAAGGCCTTAGAGATTTGAACTCAAGAGCTTATAAAAACTCATTTTAATCTTTTACCATCAAACAACCGAGCAGTGGTTGTGATTTTGTCATCTTGTTGCTTAGTTTCCACAGCATAATTTGACTACAAATTGACATCTTCCAATATCAATTTTAAAATAGTGGAGAAAAAAATAAAGAAAAACCACGTGCAACATAAAGGGATTTGTCTTTACTGACTAAAAATAAGCAGCCACCGTACTTTAGACCAATTTAAAGCTATATAAAGACCGAAATCTGCTTCTGTTCTCTGTGTAACATTCATTGCATGTCCAAGTGAAAGTGAAGGGATCCGCCACTTTTCTAGAATTTTGAAGGATAAGACTGGCTACATTCGTCAGGATTTATAGTCAAATTCCACAATGGAAAACAGAGGCCAAGATGGAAGAAATTTGGTGACGATGGTTATCACATATGGATTTTTTTTCCTCACAAATTGACAATATTTATAAATTTCACATAATTAGAAAAAAAAAATCTCAATATTTACAAGTAATTAATAAAAACACTATTATGAGGATATATATGGCTGAAATTTTTGTTACAGATATATCATTCTCTTTTACAGGCGTCTTGATTTTTTCTAAAACCTGTAAACTTAAGTATGTTTCTTACTTGAAAATTTTATATAGATATTATCTATATTAACTTTTGTTATTTAATTTTAATATTTTATGTAGAGGAAAAATGGGGATTAGGAAGGATGAGAAGAGGTGTAGTTATTGCAAATTAAGTATAAAGATCCTGCCTTATTCATTTTGTCTAACATTTTTTTTTTTTTTTTTTTGACCTGAGTGTCCGAACTAACTTGCGCATATCTTAACTAATCATCGGAGTATATTAAACACCCAACAAACCTAATATTCCAAAGTAAACCACAAATGTGGTAGGTGATCCCAAAGTGGTTTGAACCCAATAAGTCAATGAAATGAGCAAATCTTTTTAACCATCAAATCAACCTGTGGGGGGTTTTTTGTCCAACATTTTGAACCAGTTGAGCTGAAGTGTTGCCACTACATAGAAGGAATCTATGAATTTTCCATTTTGCATAGATAACATGAAAAGTATAGAAAATAATTGAGGATGTAATTATTGTTCATCTATAAAATTCTTCACTAGGATTATTTATTCATATTCAATTTTTTCTTGATTATAAACTGATGTTCTCAAAGGGGTAGAGTAGAAAATCTTCATATTATCTCCCTCTGTGCTTTTTCCTTTGTTTTCTTTGTTAAATTATTGTTAGAGAATTCTCAGTAATTAGGTTTGCACTTTTATAGAATTTGGTCATCGAATCCTAGAGGTATTTCCGTTGTAAATTAGGGATATTCAAAACTGGTTAACTGATTTTGTGAACTGAACCAGTTTTTTAGTTTAGAAATTTTCTTGACCGAAACCGAACCAGTTAAGGGGAAAACCGGTTTTCCGGTTAACCAAAAAACCGATTAACCGGTTTTAATTAATATTTTATATATTATTTTAATTTAATATTTTTATAATAAACCAGATTTTTTTTATTTTATATTTTAATTTAATATTTTTTATAATAAATCGGTTAGTAAAACAAGTTTCGATTAACCGTTTCCCATATTCTCCAAAACCAGTAACAAAACCAAAAATTCGGTTTTTTTAATTTCTTTGAACCGAAACTGAACCGGTTTGGTTCGGTTTTTGTATTTTTTTAAACACTCATATTGTAAACCATAACCTTAATAAGTTTAAAATAAACTATTTTATTTGACATGATTCCTGTTATTCTCAAAATCAAAATACAATATCCATCATAATTATCAGCATTCTTCTAGATTACTGAACAAAATCATTAACAAGACTTCACTTGAGAAATAAATCTCTCAAAATTTTTGAATGAAGATCCACCTTCGACAAGACTTTTTCTAGCCATTTCCTTGATCTTCAATGAATTTGATTTGATACCATCATCACTGATAAGTCTTCTCACCTTTCTTTGTATTTCATGCCTTGTAACAATCCCATTTTCATCCGGGGTTAAATCTAAACCAATCTTCCAGACTTCACAAATGAATCTTCTATTTTGATATTGATCCGCGAAGTAAGGCCAACACAGAAATGGTACTCCCATGCTTAATCCTTCCGTAGTAGAATTCCATCCGCAATGACTTAAGAAACAAGCAACTGAAGAATGAGCTAACACCTTTTCTTGAGCTGCCCATTCAACGATCTTTCCTCGACCGGCTAGTTTCTCTTTAAAACCATTTGGGAATCTGGTTAGCGATTCATTCACAAGGTTTGATCGAACAACCCACAGAAATGGTTGGCCTGAGGATTCAAGACCGAGCGCCAATTCCTCAAATTGTTGCTGATTTAAGGTGGTTGTGCTGCCCAATGCAACATAAATGACTGAACCTATTGCTTGCTTGTCAAGCCACCTTAAGCAAGATGAGTCCTCAGGAATTAAGCTTCCAGCCGAATTTCCAGACTGATTACTTGCAAGTAATGGGCCAATGGGTAAGACTTTTGGAACCAAATCACAGTTCGGCGAGTCAAGTTCATAAATTGAGTTGGAAAGAACCCAATTGGAAATTCTGACAGTTTCCGCGGCAGCACAAGTAATTTCAAGGAAAATCTTTTGTATCATTGGTTCTTCTGGACAGCTCCAATTGAATTCGTTTCTTTTCCAGGGATGAGTTTCCTCTGATATCGATATCCACTCATCAGTCATTGGCATTGCATATCCTACATCAAATTCAATTAGTTATAAGATACCAAACTACATAAAAGTTAAATTCAGTCAATTATATACTCACCATCATTATCTATAATTCCAGCATCAATAATCTTTTTAACATGAAATGAAATGGCCAAGGTTGGTGGTCCATAAGGAACAAGTGCAGCTCGTGGGATTCCCATTTCGTGGGCGAGTTCCAGAGCCCATCCGAGACAAATATCAGCAATAACACAACTGATGGGCTCACATTCATCAGATTGGTTAATCTTCTTGATCAGCTCCTTCAAATGACCTGGCATGACTCTGAACATACAATCTTTAGTCTTAAACGGATCATTTCGATCATCGGGTTCGATTCCATCTGGAATCGAAACAAACCTTATCAGGCTCCCTTTCTCAGCTTTCTCCGGCATCGTAGCCATGATTTTGGCCGCGATGAACTCTGTGTTAACAAAGGTGACCTTGATTCCATGTTCAGCAATCTTTGATGCCAATTTCAGAAGAGGTGGAACATGGCCTTGTGCTGGATATGGAATAAGCAGTAAATGAGGTTCCCTCACCATTTCAAAGAGCTTTTGTTACCCTGAACTATATGATATGTGTCCAATTCCGAAGCATTAAATAAAATATCAGGTCAGTCAATTCTCTTAGCAATTTAGTCTTTGGTGGTGACGTAATTGGCATTTACTGATACCTAAAACTTTATGGAAATTGCCAAATATTGTTTATTTTTGCCACTTTTTTACCATAATGCATAGGCAACAAATCCATCTCCATCACATTACGAAAGCAATGATGTAATGTAACTTCACCTCTCGCTAAGTACAGACAACAAGTTGTAATAAAATACAAGAATTTATCTGTTTATAATTTTACAGGTGCCTCTTGAGAGCAATAATTTTGCTCAGCAAGATTTCTGACCAAAAATTTGAAATTAAACAGAGACCATTCCATGTGATAAGAGATAGAATTGACAACCACTACAACAATAAGAGGTTCGCTTATAAGGGACGATTCATATGGGGTTTTACTGTAGGATTCAATATTAGTGGTTTGTGTTAATACCATGAATAGCCATTATAAGATTATCTAAGGAACAGAATTCCTAATAGAGTTTGGCTTAGAAATAAGGATCCTAATAATTTAAGGTTTCTCTTCATAAATATATTATATAAACACAATTCTCTTTTATGAGTGATATAGAAAATTATAGCAAATACATTTATTATAATAAGAGAGGTTAGGAAATATTGCAATAATATTGACTCTGTTGGACGTAACTTAGTTTGGGTGAATCAAAATAAATCGCGTATGTTTATTTCTCTTACTTGTTGCGTTATATGTGTGATAGTTTATTTTATTTGATTCCAAACACTCTTTAGTTCTTTCGGTATGCCTCTACAAATTCATTTTGGTATTCATTTTGTGTTATTTTATGGTGGTTTTATTTATTATTAAATTATTATAAATAAGTGACTGTACAATCATTGAATGTAGAATAAAAACAGTAAATGATATTTGGAATCAATTGTTTTTAATAGATTTTAATCCAGGCATTCTTACAGAATATTGTAACAAAGTGATTAATTAGATTTCACCTGAACAATAAATCTCGCAAAATTATTGAAAGAAGATCCACCTTCAACAAGACTTCTCCTTGCCTTTTCCTTCAGCTTCAATGAATTTGTTTTGGTACCATCATCACTGAGCAGTTTTGTCACCTTTCTTTGTATCTCTTGTCTTGTAACTATTCCATTTTCACCTGGGGTTAATTCTAAACCAATCTTCCAACCTTCACAAATATAATTTTTATTCTGATATTGATCCCCGAAGTAAGGCCAACAAAGAAAAGGGACTCCCATGCTCAACCCTTCCAGAGTTGAATTCCATCAGCAATGACTTACAAAACAAGCAACAGAAGATTTAGCTAAAACCTTTTCTTGAGGTGCCCATTCAACAATTTTTCCTCGTCCATCTATTCTCTCTTTGAAACCATCTGGGAATCTGGCCAGTGATTCAACAACAAGATCCGATCGAACAACCCACAGAAATGGTTGGCCTAAGAATTCAAGACCAAGAGCTAATTCTTCAAATTGTTGCTGATTTAAGATTGTTGTGCTGCCCAATGAAACATAAATGACTGACCCTGTCGGTTGTTTGTTAAGCCAGCTTAAGCAAGTTGAGTCCTCAGGCATTAAGCTTCCAGAAAAATTTCCTGAACTATTACTTGCTAGTAATGGACCAATTGGTAAGATGTTGGAAATTAGATCACAGGATGATGAGTCAAGTTCATAAAATGAGTTGGAAAGAACCCAGTTGGAAATTCTGACATTTGGATATTAGCACAAGCAAAATCAAAGAAAATCTTTTGTAACGTCAAATCATCTGGACAGCTCCATGCGAGTTCGTTAGCTTTCAAGGGAAGAATCTCTTCTGATATCGAGATCAACTCGTCAGTCATTGCAGTTCCTACATCAAATTCAATTAATAATTAGTACCAAGTTATAAACTAGCAGCTACTTTGTTGAAATGAATAGTTTGATTTCTGAATGATACATACTCCTTTGAACTTACCATTAGAATCTATAGCTCCAGCTTCAACGAGATTTGGAATACGAAGTGTCAGGGCCAAGTTCCCTGGTGCATAAGGTAAAACTGCAGCCCGAGGAATGTCCATTTTCTGAGCAAGTTCCAGTGCCCATCCAAAACATATATCAGCTCTGACGCATGTGATATGTTCACAGTCACTTGATTTGTTGATATTCTCAATCAGGGTCTCCAAATGACCTGGCATAACTCTTAACATAGTATCTCTAGTTTTTATATAATCGTTTTGATCATCGCCTTGTTTGTGTCCATCTGGAATCGAAACTAGCCTTATCATGCCCCACTCAACTTTCTCTGGCATTGAAGCCATGATTTTCGCCTCGATAAACTCTGTGTTAACAAAGGTGACCTTGATCAGTTGATCCCACATTCAGCAATCTTTGTTGCCAATTTCAGAAGAGGTGTAACATGGCCTTGTACAGGATATGGAATAACCAGAACATGCGGTTGCTTGCCCATTTCAAGATAGCTGTGTTGCTGATATCCCAATCTTTATAGTTTAATTTCTGGTTCTTTCTATCAGCACTGGTTTTTGTGATCATGATGTAATTGGCATGTAATTTGTGTCTAAAAACTAATAGAAATGTCCATTCTGGTTTGTTTTCAGCCGTCTGTTTTTCCATGTTTGTTCTTTTATTTGTATTTTATTATCAGAATGCCATCCATTTAAAACAAATCCATCTTCTTCACACAAGGCCGGCTCAAGGGGTAGGCAGGTGAGGCACCTGTCTAGGCCCCCCCAAAAATAGAGCCAAAATGGGCCAAATTTTTTATAAATTTTTTTTTAAATATATTACAAAAATAAAAATTGTGTATAATTTCTTATCTAGGGCAATCCAAGGGGCCCCCCAAAAAAACCAAAAGACCCAAATTTACTATAAACTTTTTACATATATTCTCACCCAAAGTTTGACAAAATTTCAAGTTTGTACCTCTAATTTCATATATTCTAATTTACACCCTTAAATTAACACATTGAATTTCTTTTAACAATGAAAGGCTAAAATGGTCATTTATATTTCTCAAATTACTCACCCCTAATTCAATCCCAAAATTCGACATTCACATAAATCAATTGCACCCCTCTTCCACCGCTGGCCGTTTGGAGCTGATTCTGGTTGATTTTCTCACCAAAATCGACTGGAACCATCACTTTATCATTTTCCAAGTATTTTCTCAACCTTGATAGCCCTTGATTTGGCAATTTTTTTACAAATCTCGCAACCTAGCTCCACCGCGTGCGATAGCCATTTCTGGCCTTTTCGGCATGTACCTAGCATCGTTGGCCTTCCCCAACAGCACCATCTTCCTTCCTTCAACCTACTCACCAAAACCCCTATCATAACTCATCTGTTTACTCTGCCATAGCCGGCCACCGATACCTTTTGGGCTGCAACTTCTCAAGTCTTTTCTAATCAATCCTAGCATTGGAAATCACCCATTTCACCACCCATTACTTCTCTAGCATCTGCTCTCCAAAACCCCCCACCAACCTAACCCGTTAGCCCGTCAGTTGTTATCCACCTCTCCTAGTGATTTTGCATCTCAAAAGGTAAGAAAAATAAATTTAAAATAATTCTTTTAATATATACTTATATTATTAGAAGGCCTCCAAAATAATTTTTGCCTAGAGTCATAAATGTTTTTGAGACAGCCTTGCCTTCACATTACGTATACAAAAGCTGTTGAGCTTGGTTTCCTCATGCGGAGGATGACCCAAAATCCTAAAGCCCAAAAATTAAAAAAATAAAAAGCATAGCTTGAGTTCCTTTTTTTAGTGGGTGAACAGTGTGAAAAACTAAGGTACTGTTCACAAGTTAAAAATCCGCTAAAATGGGAGAGAGACGGCTACACCAGGTTATTCTGGCGACGATCCAACGGTGAATCTTGCTCCGTTTTTTCTCAAATTTCAGAGAGTTGTTGTTGACGGCAAGATCTTCACATCCAACCGTCAGTTTCTTAATAGCCATCTTTTTTGTGGAGTTTTGCCTCTAGAAAGACAGTCAAATCAAAGAGTTTGAGTTATAGAATATCGGTCCGTCTGTCCTTCTTCAGCCTGATGATCGGAAGGCCATCTCTAGTTTGATCAACCTAATTTTTGGTTAGAACATAGAAGACGTTTGATTCTTCAATCTGGACGGTTGGTTTTCAATTTTAACTGCTGAGTTTGAAGTTTACAACCTGCATTTCAGGTGCTTTGTGATTTTACTCCATCTTTTCATAACTCTTTTGTGTATATCACTTTGTTAAAGTTGTGACTTGTGATAGAGCTCTAAATTTGTGTGGAATATTATTGGTGAATTGTGGCTATTGTAAACACTTTTTTTATTATAGTGGGTTTAAGTGGATCATTCGATCTCGTAGTTTTTTAATTTCTTCACATTGAAGAGATTTTTCCACGTAAAATTATTTGTATCTTTTATGAATTTGATTGTTGTTTTCAATCATATTTGCTCAAGGTTCATTCAAGTAGGAAATATTTTGGTAATGAATTATTTCTTTGAAAGGCAATGCTGAAAAGCTGTTGGAGGAATCAAGAGGCTAGATACACCTAGGCCTAGTTGCGGCTATTAACACCCAGGTAAAGAATATATTCCTTGATATAATCCAAGTATTACATACAAATAATTAAACATGTACTGATCACAGAATACAGAAAATACAATATTTTCTTGAAGAAGCTTAGCTTAGCACAAATTTAAATAGATGGGACCAATTTAGGTGATAAATATATATTCGATTTTAACATTTGTTTTAATTTATCTTCAATTCTTTTATTTATATATCAGTGCTATATACTAAGATTAGTTTTATCTTGTTCTCAAGGTTATTTACTCCAGTATAAACAAGTAGCTTTATTTGTAACCATCATTTTTTTTTTTTTTTCTCTTTTACTTATTGGTTTGCATTCAACAAGATGAACTCCATACTTTACTAATCAATGGAATATCTATTATTATTCCGGAATTTTCGACATTGAAATTAACTAGACTTCATCTGAACAATAAATTTCTGAAAATTATTGAATGAAGATCCACCTTCAACAAGACTCCTTCTAGCCATTTCCTTCAGCTTCACTGAATTTGCTTTGATACCATCATCACTGAGCAGTTTTTTCACCTTTTTTTGTATTTCATGCCTTGTAACTACCCCATTTTCATCTGGGGTTAATTCTAAACCAATCTTCCAACCTTCACAAATATAATTTTTATTCTGATATTGATCCCCGAAATAAGGCCAACAAAGAAAAGGAACTCCCATGCTTAAACCTTCCATAGTTGAATTCCATCCGCAATGACTTAAGAAACAAGCAAGAGAAGAATTAGCTAATACCTTCTCTTGAGGTGCCCATTCAACAATCTTTCCTCGACTGCCTATTCTCTCTTTAAATCCATCTGGGAACCCGCGGAACGATTCAGTCACAAGGTCTGATCGAACGATCCACAGAAATGGTTGACATGAGGATTCAAGACCAAGAGCTAATTCATCAAACTGTTGCTGATTTAAGGTTGTTATGCTGCCCAATGCAACATAAATGACTGAACCCATCGGTTGTTTATCAAGCCAGCTTAAGCATGTGGAGTCCTCAGGCCTCAAGCTGCCGGCAAAATGTCCTGAATGATTACTTACTAGTAATGGACCAATTGGTAAGATGCTGGGAACCAAATCACAGGATGATGAGTCAAGTTCATAAAATGAATTGGAAAGAACCCAGTTGGAAATCCTCACAGTTTGAGCAACAGCAGTGGCAAATTCAAAGAACAACTTTTCTATATTCGAATCAACCGGGAAACTCCATGGGAACTCTTTACCGTTCCAGGCTAGAGATTCTTCAGATAATGAGATCAACCCATCATTCAACGCAGTCCCTAAATCAAATTCAATTAATCATATAAGTACCTAACTATTTATGAATCAAATTGAAGTAATTTATACTTACCATTAGTATCTATAAGTCCTGCCTCCAGAAGCTTCGGAATGTGAAGTGCCAGAACCAAGCATGCTGGTCCATAAGGTATAACCACAGCCCTCGGAATTCCCATGCTTTGGGCAACTTCCAGTGCCCATTTAACAGATATATCAGCAATGACACATGTGATCTGCTCACTGTCACTTGATTTGTTGATCTTCTCAATCAAGTCCTTCAAGTGACCTGGCATGACTCTAAACATACTATTTCTAGCCTTAATAAAATCGTTCCGATCATCTCCCTCTTCAAGTCCATCTGGAAATGAAACCAGCCTCACCGGGCTCAACTCCTCAGCTTTGTCTGGAGTTGAAGCCATGATTTTCGCATGAATAAACTCAGTGTTAACAAAGGTGACCTTGATTCCATGTTTGGCAATCTTTGTTGCCAATTTCAAAAGAGGTGCAACATGGCCTTGTGCAGGATATGGAATAACCACTACATGCGGTTGCTTGCCCATTGCAAGATAGCTAGATTCACTTCCACCAAACTATATGCTAATTCTTAATATCCGAACCTACACTTCGCTTCTGGCTCTTTTTATCAGCACTTTTTGTGACCAAGATGTAATTGGCATGTACTTTGTATCCAAATATTAATTGAATTGTCCATTACGGTTTGTTTTCACCTTTAGTTTTTTCCATGTTTGATCTTTTTTCTTTGTATTTTACTTTCAAAGTTTTTCCATGTTTGATCTTTTTTCTTTGTATTTTACTTTCAGAACGGCAGCTACAAATCCATCTCCATCACATTACAAAAGCATTGCTGAAACAAATCCATCTAATCAGTCAGAGCCAAGTTCTGATAAACTTTTGGAGGAAGCAAGAGGCCTGGTTGCCGGGTAAAGAATATATTCCTTGAATATAATCCAAGCATTATATTTAAGGAATATATTTTTAAATATGGAGTAACATTACTTTTAAATATACATCTACTTATCACTGAATATAAAAGTACGCTATTTTCTTGAAGGAGGTTAGCTCAGCAATAGTTTGGACCACAAATTTAAAAACTGATGGGGGACCAATTTAAGTGATATATCATTCTCTAGCTTATTATCTCCATATAAACAAATATCTTTATTTGTAACCACAAACTCTTTTTTCTTTGAGTTATTTCAATTTGCATTCAACAAGATGAACTCCACTTTTTATTAGAATCAACAGAACATTTATCATTATTTCAGAATTTTGAACATTATCATTAACTAGACGTCATTTCAACAATAAATCTCTCCAAATTTCTGAATGAAGATCCACCTTCAACAAGACTCCTTCTGGCCATGTCCTTCAGCTTCAATGTTTTTCCTTTGATACCTTCATCACTGAGCAATTTTGTGACCTTTGTCTGTATTTCATGCCTAGTAACAATCCCATTCTCATCTCGGATGAACTCTAAGCCAATCTTCCAACCTTCACAAATATAATTCTTGTTCTGATTTTGATCCACAAAGTATGGCCAACAGAGAAATGGGACTCCCATGCTTAATCCTTCCAATGTTGAATTCCATCCGCAATGACTTATGAAGCAAGCAACCGAAGAATGAGCTAACACCTTCTCTTGAGGCGCCCATTCAACAATCTTTCCTCAACCGCCTACTCTCTGTTCAAAACCATCTGGGAATCTAGCGACCAATCCCGTCATGAGGTCGGATCGAACAACCCAAAGAAACGGTTGGCCCAAGGATTCAAGACCAATTGCTAATTCGTCAAACTGTTGCTGATTTAAGGTTCCTGTGCTGCCCAATGCAACATAAATGACTGAGCCAATCGGTTGTTTGTCAAGCCAGCTTAAACAAGTTGAGTCCTCAGGCCTAAAGCTTCCAGCCAAATGCCTTGAATTATTACTTGCAAGTAATGGACCTATCGGTAATATGCTGGGAACCAAATCACAGGATGATGAGTCAAGTTCATAAAATGAGTTGGAAAGAACCCAATTGGAAATCTTGACAATTTGGTCAACAGCACACAGAGCTCCAAAGAGAACCTTTTGTGTCTTTTTGTTAAATGGTAAGCTCCATGCCAATTCTTTAGCTTTCCAGGGAAGACTTTCCTCTGATATTGAGATCAACCCATCACTCGTCGCATTTCCTACATCAAGTTCAATCAACTATGAGAACAAAACTATAAATACATCAAATTCGAATAATCATATACTTACCATTCATATCCAGAATTCCAGCCTCAGTCAGCTTTTTTATATGAAATGACAGGGCTAAAGTTGCTGGTCCATAAGGTACAAATGCCGCTCTAGGAATTCCCATTTTCTGGGCAAGTTCAATTGCCCATACTACTAATATATCAGCAGTGACACAAGTGATCTGCTCATTGTCACTTGATTGGTTAATCTTTTCAATCAAGTCCTTCAAGTTACCAGGCATAACTCTTAACATGGTATTTGTAGTCTTATCAAAATCTGTTCGGTCCTCCTCTTGTCCAATTCCATTCGAAATTGAAACAAACTTTATCAGGCTCCACCCCTCAGATTCCTCTGGCATTGCAGCCATGACTTTCGCCGCGATCAAATCTGTGTTAACAAAGGTGACCTCAATTCCATTTTCAGCAATCTTTGTTGCTAATTTCAGAAGAGGTGGCACATGGCCTTGTGCCGGATATGGAATAACAAGAACATGCGGTTGCTTTCTCATTTCAGATAGCTTCAATCCCACAAAACTTTCAATTCTATTTGATATAATCTATCTTATGTATACTTAAAACTATCAACCCATTATGGTTGGTTTTCACTTCTTGTTTTCCATGTTTATCGTCTCTTGTTATCTTATTATCCGAATGCCAGCTATCAAAAGCATATCCATCTGCACTAGATTCAAAAATAAAAAAACAATGCTGAAATATCTTAGTTATGCAGCACAAGGTCTAATTGCAGTTATTGATTTCATCCTAGTAAATGATGTTCGATATAATCCAAGTCTTTTTATCTTTCTTTAGCTTTCAGCCTTGTCATTGCTTACAAAATACTGGTATCGATAATAACATTCATGAGATCACTTGTGAATATTAATAAAATAAAAAGAATCTTGCACGTATATTTTATGGACAACTATTTTGAAATTGACGGGGACAAATCTATGTTAGTAACTTCATCATTATTAGGATTTATTTGTTTCATTTTATTTATCATTGTCATATTTCAAGAAAAGCCAAAGAAACAATATTAATTCAATGAATTAGCTCATCTACAGAGCTCTTTACAATATTTTCATTACATTACAAAAGGCTATAAGTGGCTAGAGTCTAGAGACGTATGCACTCAACAATTTGAACTCTAATTTTCTAGAATCATTATTTCAGGCATTCTTACAGAATATTGAACTTAGTAACTAACTAGACTTTATTTCAGTAATAAATCTCTCAAAATTTTCAAATGATGATTCACCTTCAACAAGACTATTTGTTACCTTTTCCTTCAACTTCAATGCATTTCCTTTGATACCTTCGTCACTGAGCAATTTTGTGATCTTTATTTGCATTTCATGCCTTGTAACAATCCCATTCTCATCTTGGGTTAATTCTAAACCAATCTTCCAACCTTCACAAATATAATTTCTGTTCTGATTTTGATCAATAAAGAAAGGCCAACTGAGGAATGGGACTCCCATGCTTAATCCTTCCAGGGTTGAATTCCATCCACAATGACTTACAAAGCAAGCAACCGAAGAATGAAGTAATACTTTCTCTTGAGGTGCCCATTCAACAATCTTTCCTCGACCGGCTATTCTCTCTTCAAAACCATCTGGGAATCAAGCAACCAATTTCTGCATGAGGTCGGATCGAATATCTATGGTAATTGTTTGCCTGAGGATTTAAGACCAATAGCTAATTCGTCAAACTGTTGCTGATTTAAGATTGCTGTGCTGCCCAATGCAACATAAATGACTGAGCCTATCGGTTGTTCATCAAGCCAGCTTAAACAAGTTGAGTCCTCAGGCCTAAAGCTTCCAGCCAAATGCCTTGAATTATTACTTGCAAGTAATGGATCGACCAACGGGTAATATGTTGGGAACCAAATCACAAGACGACGAGTCAGGATCATAAACTGAGTTGGAAAGAACCCAGTTGGAAATTTTGAGACATTCGACAACCGCAAGAGAAGATTCAAGCAAAATCTTATGTATCTCTTCTGTTAAGCTTAAAGAGTATTCGAACTTTATGAAACAAGAAATCCTAAGTTCTCAATCAAGCAATATTCACAGTATTTAGAAGAGAAAATAATAAGAGCATAAACAAAAATAAAGAACACACAGCAATTACAGTGGTTCTTTAATCAGTTGATTACTTATATCCACTCTTCAAGGCAGTAGGGATTCATTTACCATATGAAAGAAAATCTTACAGAGCTTGCAGATCCTGTTTACAAGATAGATTCCCAGGAAAATCCCTCTGTAATTACACCCGAAACAGACCCAAGAATGCCTCACCTCTCATACATCAAAACAATGGAATTAACATATGATTTATACATGAAGAAGGGAATAAATCTGTAACAACCAGACTTACCAACGCCGTTTGATCCCATCTCACGCTTTTCAAGCTTTCACCTCAGTCGTCTTGCAACAAACTTTCTCTCTCTCTCTCTCTCTCTCTCTCTCTCTCTCTCTGTAAACAAGGAGGAAATTTAACTCCCCGGGCATCCCAAGTTTACATTTAAAAAAATGATCTTAAAAATCTTTTTGAATTTTTTTTAATTTAGAAAAGCTGACGTGGCACACTTAGGATTTATTAAACATGTAAAATAGGTTAAACAAAAAATATTTAAACATATATGAGTAAAATCATAATTAACGAAAGTTGTTTAAATTTTGAAATTTGAAAATGAGTCCCCACCCTTCAAAATCGCTTAATCGAGCCATATACCCAAAAAAATGACCGACGAACACTATTCGTTTCTTTGTGATTTCCGACGACTACAGTGCCTAAATTCTAGAAAATTTTCAATCCTAAAGCTTCCTTACACAAAACCATGGCTGACATTCACAAAGGGGAGGAAAACCCAACCCCACTCCGAATCCTAGACTCCGGCGACGTCAGCAGTTCAAAGGCTGTCGAAGACGACGCTTTGGTGGATCATCCGATGAGTGAAGGTGGTCCATAGGCAGAGGAGACGATGGCGGCACAAGAACAGAGAGAAGAATCAGAAAACGGTTCTGAAGAGAAGGACACCGACGAGAATTCAGGCGAGGAGGAGGACGCCGATGAAGAAATGGTACCTTTTTTACTTGTTTTTTGAATTGGATGAGAAAATGGATTGATTTGTGAGAATTTGGGGGAGATGTAGTTGGTTTTATTGTTATGGTGGTTGTGGCATTTTGTCGAGTAGTTGGTGGGCATTGGTGGAGTGGCTTTGTTTGGGTTCCAAAGGATGGGGGAAGGCAAGGGAGGTTGTTTCAGGGAGTTTGGTAGGCTGAGGATGGTAGGAGGTGGCAAAATAGAGGGGTTGGAGGGCTGCCCTACATATTGGCAATGTTGCGTGCGCTGTGCGAAGCCAGCCCTGTAGGGCTTGCATGATTGTTGGCTATGATTGTACCAAACAATCATGCAAGCCCTACTGTAGGGCTTGTAGGGCTTGCATGATTGTTTGCAGGGCTGGCTATGATTGTTGTGTTAGAAGTGTTAAATTGTAGGGTTTTTAATTCATATGTTGGTGGGGTTTTAGCTTTGGTGATTATTTGGATGTGTTTTTTTGAGTTGTGGGGATAATGGTCTTAATTGTGGTGATCCTTAAATTAGTGATCTTATGAATTTGTATGCTATGAATGAATGTGTAACAGTGGTGCAAGTGTTATGTTAATGTTGTTATGTGTGATACTAATGTTTGTTGGTTGTGCTTGAAGTGTGAAATGAAAGTTTTTTAATTCATAAGTTGGTGAGGTTTTAATTGAGTGATTGTTTAGACTATTAGTTTGTAACACTGAATGAATGGTTGTTGTTGATAATGGTGGTAGAGTTAATATTATTAAGTGGAAGACTAAGTTTACATGCTTGCTTTTCAATTGATGCTTCGGTTGAGTTTTAGTTTAGTGATATTTTAGATGTGTTTTGAGTTGTTAACTGTTGTGATGGCAAGATTAGTAATGAGTTGTGCATTATGGTTTTTATATTCATTTACATTGTACGATGCTCCTTTTTTTTTTTTTTTTTTTTTTTTTTTGTCACACTTTTGAAAAGATTAGTTGAAAAGTTCATTGTATGATACTTTTTCTTTGTTTACAAATTATGTTGGCAGCCTATTAGTTGTTTTGGTTTCTTTTTTTTTGGCTAATATTTAGTTTATATCGATTGTGCAGATTTTCCGAAGCGTAAACTATAAAGACTATGGGTTGGAGGTTGTAAGCGATAAGGTACCGTACTTCCCTGTAAGGGTGACAGTTAGGTCGAGCTGGCAAGTTTTTACGAGTATATAATGAATATTTTACGAGAACAGAAAAATGGTTTAGACCGATTCAAAGAGAATTGTTTCGGTCATTTTATGAACATCGGAGAAAATTGGAAAAAGGCGTTCTGGGGGCAGGGAGTGCATTATATGTTGCTGCACTCAGTTAAATGCAAAAAAAAAAACAAAAAAATGTGGTTCGTGGTGGATGGAAAGCCACTACATTTTGGGATGATGGAATATGCCTTGATGACAGGTTTAAGATATGAGAAATTACCAGATGTGGCAGAGCAAGAGAGAATAAAGAATAGTAGGGCAGCCGAAAACTTGGCTAGAAAGGTTTTGGGGCAAAAAGCATCTATTAGTATTTTACGGGACGCGATTTAGAGGAGAGGTTAGAAGAAGGTGGGTATACCTCTTCAGAGAGGTTCAAAATGTGTCTAGTATGGTTCGTGCATTCGATCCTAATGGCTTCTGACTCAACAAAAGTCGTTAATATGGATTGGGTGAAGTTTGCAAGCAACATGGACTTCTTTAATGCTTATCCGTGGGGATGGGTATCATTTACGCTAACCATGGACTCTTGCAAGGAAAAGACATGGCGTTAAAGCAATCTCAATCTGTCAATAAGAATAGACTTATCATGTACAATTTATTTGGTTTCCCATAGGCAATACAGGTAAATATTAATAGCTTTTTGTTATATTTTTTGTAGTATGTGTTTTAATTATGATATGGACTGTTTTTTTACAATGTAAGCTTGGATGTATGAGGTCGTCCCTGTCCTGGCTAAGGCAGGGGGAGGATGAAGACTTCGGATGAGTGACCACAATTTCCTAGGACGTTGCGGTGGCACATCGAGAAGTGTACCCATTAGGATTATGACAAAATAGACATGGAAATTCAAGCGGCTCGGGTAAGATTAAAGGATTAAGCTTTTGAATATGCACTTGCTTTTAAATGTGGCTTAAATCTGATTGATTTTGTTTCTTTTTGCAAGGAGTCGTCCGTCCCTTCCTCATCGCTACTAGGGATGAAACGGGAGAGGAGTATATTACATCCTTCAAAGCACTGGAAGATGAAGCATGTGAAGGGATAGATCGCCTAATGCGAGACCTAGAAAGGGTCACGCATGTGAGTGTAGTTGCAGGGGCACTTCTTGAGAATGTTGTTGACGCCGAGGACGATGAAGCTCCAATCGGCGGGAGGGAGGAGGATGAGGAGTAAGAGGTTCGTACACTTCCACCCAATTGGAAAATTAGTACAATAAGTACCGTTTTGTCGAGGCA